GTTGAAGTTCACACATCTTAACCCTGCCCAGGTTGAGAAACACTGGTCTAGATGACCCATTCTAGGATTCTATGTTGGGAAAGAGAAGAAAGCTTGCCTGCTAGCAAAAAGGATTCAGCTTTGCCTCTTCTCCGACATTCCAGGTTTCGCTGGGCCAAGGATTCTTCCGTATGGAGGAGCAGTACCCTTCGCCCTTTCAACCTTTGCATGGGAAGAAGGCTAGAGAGCTCGATTAATTTTCCGATCTGCGTGGCTTTCGCTGGGTTCAAAGGCTGCATTGATTACAAATTAGAATTCCCCCAGCCTTCCAGTCACTCCCTAGATAGCAGCAGCCCGCCCAGATGTTGTAAAGGGGGGCGGTTGAGATGCCGAGGCTGCAGAGGAAAACCTTTGTGTGTTCCAGGACAGTGTCGAAGATGGGACACACCCTTGTGGATTCTGCAGCGACTTTATTTCCAAGTGTTCCCTCTCCTGGGAGGTATGCGCAAACTTTCTTGTTTGTATCTACGCCCGGGATTTCTTCTCTCTCTTTCGATTAGATTAGGTTTTCTTTTTTTAGATTTTTTTTGTTTTTCCCTGCCTTTATTATTTTTAGAAATAACTCAGGGTGGCGAACATACCTCATACTTCTTCCTCCTCCTATTTTCCCCACAACAACAACAACCCTGTGAGGTGGGCTGGGCTGAGAGAGAGTTCTCTTCCAGGGAAGTCTGCAGGCTGTGGTCAAGAACGTCAAGGCGGCGGCCTTTATTTATTTATTTATTTAATCCACTTATACAGCCGCCCATCTCTGATACGTAACTCTGGGCGGCTCACGATTAAAGCGAAAGGGAAAACAGAATTAAAAACGCAACCAATAATTAAAAACATTAACACAGCGCAGCATAAAACAGCAGCCGGGAATAATCAGACAACTCCCAGTCAATAGGACCCAAAAGTGGGCTCACCCACAGGGCCCCCGGCTTGACAGCAAAGGTCGGCAGGGTTGGGGTGAGTCTGATCTCGGGTGGAGGATGATGGGTGCCATGGCAGAAAAGGCCCTTCTCCTGGGTCCCACTACAGGGAGTTGTTTCATGGACAGGACCCAGCGCACGCCTTTCCTGCCAGAGGTAACAGGACAGGTAGACACCACTGGGGAGAGATGGTCCCATAAGTAACCCGGTCTCAGGCCATGAAGAGCTTTAAAGGTGACAACCAGCACTTCGAATTGTACCCGGAAGCACCCCAGAAGCCAGTGCAGCTCGTGGAGCAGAGATGTCACACATGCCAAGTGACTGGCACCCATAACTGCCCACGCCACTGCGTTTTGCACCAGCCGAAGCTTCCAAATATTCTTCCAGGGCAGCCCCATGTAGAGCGCATTGCAGTAATCCAGAGATGACGGTCCACACGTAGAAAAACAAGCAGAGTTACGACTGCATCATGGTGGCGTTTGTCTCAGCTTTCTTGATCCCACTCTGCAGACGCCCCTGCTCTCTTCACGTGCTCATCGCAACATCGTGCACTGCGTCAGATCGATCAATGCTGCGGAAATGGCTGAAGGAGGGGGCAGGGTGTAATGACATGCAGTCGATGGAAGAGCTAAGCATAGGCCCTCCCCGGCCCACTCTGCTCCTGCAGCTTGTGCACGTCCTTTGGTGTTGGGGTGCATTGGCATTAGCATCTTGGCTCAAGAAGGGATCTTGAGTTTTCCTGTGTTGGAGAAACCCTGCACCTGCAACTAACTATGGTTAGAGTTCTACGAGCAGAGACTGAGATTCAAGGAGGTTCAAGAGATTCACGGAGGTTCAAAATTCAAGGAGGTTCAAGGAGATTCAAGGAGGACTTGCTCCAAGTTCCCTAACCCAAGGGAGGTTTAAGGGGGCTTGGATGAGGAGAGGTCTTCTTAGGTGTGGCCCCCACTTTATGGAACACAGTCCCCCTGAAGTTACAAAAGGTCCACCTGCTCCTTACATTCAGGAAGGCCCTGAAAGCAATTTTATTTCCACAGCCCTTTGGATCCTCAAGTGGGGTGCTGCACATCTATCTTTAGTATTTGTCTGAGCATTTTTAAGCCTCAAGATAGTAAGTTGTCTAGGTTTGCTCACATATACCATCCAGAGAGTCCTGCAGGCTGGGGCAGTCTATAAGGATAGTTAAGGAATCTGTGAATAAGTGAACTTCAGATCTCTGCTAGTCTTCTTTGCGTGAGTGATTTGCAGAGGAGAATAAATGTAAATAAAACACTTATTTGGCTTTTGAACTTGGCTTATTAAGTATGCCATTCTGCACTGTTCAACCTCTGCAGTGCTGCCTTAACTATGGGCTCAATGGGTAAGAGACAGGGGTGTCCATAGCCGCCATCTTGACTTTTTTGACTACCCCTGTGGACACCCCTGCCAGAAGATGTGGCCTGTCTTTAAAACAACTTTTGGAAGGTATGTTGTGGGTACATTCATAGGTGCTCTTCCTCTTAATGTCAGCCGACATGGAAGGTGGACTGCGACTTCCCAAAACTATCTGGCTGGACTATGCAGAATGGACCACGGATGGAACAATTGGGCTTTTGGCCCGATCCCAATTTCCCACACCCATTTTATTTTCAGCCAGCAAAACCAAGCTGATCTTCCCTCTGCTTTAGGGCGTCGGAGCCTAACGAACTCAACATCGGGACCCTGAAGATGCAGATCACAGAATACAAAACTCTCTGTCAGGCTGCAGAAGTGGAACGAGATCGTCTGATAGAGCTGGTCAGCATGCTGCAGAAAAGGTACAAGGGGCCAAAGAGCAAAATTGCCCCCCATTTTGAAACCCAGGGCCCCTTGTCCCACGTCACTCGGGTCTCTGAAAAGGCCAGGCAGGTTTTTCCAGCCCCTATGAGTAAAGGTTTGGGTTGGGAAGACAAGGAAGAGAAAGGATGTGTTTCTGTAGACACCAAGAGGGTATTTTAGTCCATCTTCCTGAAGCACTTTTCCTCCAAAATAAGGTGGGTTTTTTTTTTTTCTTCCTCTGATTCCTTTTCATCCTTTGGGGCATTTACACTCCTTAGAATCGCAATTGTAATTCAGCTGTGATTCGATGCAGCAGCGTCTGCAGGAAAGTCCAATGCATTCAAGCTTTCGAGATTCGGGGACTCTAGCCCAGCGTCTCTCAACCTCGGCCACTTTTGCTCCCCAGGGTGGACGAGAGCATCACAAAGGTTTGGGAGGCGGAGAAGAAGTTTCAAGAGCAGCAACGCAAGTATGTCGCTCTAGAGCAGCAGTTTGCAAAGCTGAAGATGGAGACAGGGAAGCCGGGCGGGGCCTCCAAAGCTTACTCCAAGAACAAAGCAGGTAAGGGGGCTTACACCCTCTAGAGAAGGTAGACTTCGCACAAGCCCTGCACAAAATCTTTCCAGTGGAACATCCATGGACAGGAGGAGAGTTTCTGCCCATAACGGCAGATTAGGGGAGGCTGTGGGAGGGAGTTAAAAAAGACTCCCTCCCACACAGAGGTGGTCACAACTGCAAAAGCCCCACCCTTTTAAATCTGTGCACATTCAAGGAAGCAGGTTTGGAGCAGTGTTTCTCAACCTTGGTGACTTTACGATGGGTGGACTTCAAGTCCCAGAATTCCCCCCCCACCCCCCCTCGGTGTCCGATCATTTTTCGTCGTTTAGACCACCCCCCACAGCATCCCGAAGGTGGGAAAAAGACTATGATGAAATT